ATTGGTTTTTTTCCGTATAGAACAATCCAGACAGCAAAGCCTTTAATAAGTGGAGACTTTCTATATCCACAGACATTACATAATTTTTAGGAAACTGGGCTTCAGATAGACGATCTCAAGGAATTCCGTTTCTTTTATTCAGGTTTATTAGTCCATTTAGTGTCTTCGGCAGACGCGAAGAAGAAGGCTTTCTAGAGACCTGCTCTAACCTTAGGTCTTTCAGTGAGTAAACAACCCGGTTAGTGTATCTAGTCCGATGGGTCCAGTCACCAAAGTTTTTTATTGTTAGTTTATAGTCTGACCCCTCTCAATACCAAACCATAAACGATACGAACGAACACCCGCCGCTTACCCACCACTTTTCTGCAAGCTAAAGAGCTGTTACGTTCCACAATAATATTGTAGATTTCACTAAAATTGTAATGAGGATATTTTATGCAAATAGATAGGACCAGTTTTAACTAAGGCCAGAGCAAGCAGTTATATCAGAATCCGTGTAGTTGCCCGCCTTGGTAACGAGTCTCATTTTACTTCTTGCTCTCGCTATCCTTTTAGTTCTTTCGGCATCTATGTAATGGCAGTAGGAATTAAAGGAATTAAGGGAAATTGTTCTTTATGGCAGCAGTAAAGTTAAAGCTTTTAATCGCCTGCTTTAGTCTACTAAATAAACTACAAGCCTTCCTTCCTGTCGGCGTATGCAAATGAAGCATTGATTTTTAATCCTGAACTGAGTGTGGCTGTGTGATTGCCAGTTTAGTTACACACTAAAATCTAAATACATACATGTATGTATGTATGTAGAAATATATTCAAGTGCTTATGTATTTGTATACACGTTCACAATATTCACCTTGCGAATGAAAATTCATAAGCACTTGCTCATGACGCTTCTTACCTCACATTTAAAGCACCAACTATGGCATACAAATTTCCTCTACACAGGAGAAGAAAAATTTTTTTAAACACAATAGTCAAATCGAAAAATGCTAGCAAACGACTTTTAACCTTGCTGCCAACAATCAAGGACGACAAGGGGAACAAGGACGTTCACGTGTACTAAATAGAATTCACTGCACTTGTGCGATTTTTTTTGTTGCTTAGCCTTAAGCCAAATAGTGAAAGCAAAGGAAATCAATGTCTAGTTATATTTGCACCATGCACGTGAAATTCTCTGGGTTTGCTTTCGCCCGCATGTCTTTAACTAAGCAAACATTTAAATTTAATTTTTCGTACTTGTGCTTAGATTGTAGGGGAAATGCCAAAATGCGATATTTTTAATACAAGGATTTTTGTTCACTCATACGTCATGGCGGTCAGGTATTTTTTATGAAATTTTTTTTATTCTTGTATGCTGTTTTGAATACTTTCTAAAGATCTTTCATGGTATGGCCGCCAGGAAGATGACAAGCATTAAATTGACTATTATTTCTGTTTCTTTTTATACTAAAATGGCATTTTGGTGGAAATACTTTTGGTTAAGTTAGATTGGACGGCCTTACTGCAGTAGAACGAATGTGTTTTTTTTATGCATTTATTCTCTGAATGAACATTTTTATTTATATAAATTAATAGCCATCTCAAATGAATTAATCATGCAATATTACGCTTCGACAGTCATTGGTTCAAATTTTTTCGAAATAAGTGTAGCATTTTCAAATTTTGCTCTATGTTCCAAATAACACTGCTTGTTTTGTTTATGGCACCTAATACTACATTAACACGGCATATGTATGCATTTAGATATTTGTTTTTTTTTTTGGTATAGCTGGAAACCCTATTAATTTTTTTCTTTATCAAGCAACGGTAAATAATTTTTTTATTAAATACCTTCCCTTTTGTTTACGCTCATATAGACATATTTTTTTAATTTTTATAAGAAAATGCTGTTTCTTAATTTTTGATATGGCAATTATTAAAAAAATCTGAACTTAAGTCATGAATCAATTGATATTATAAAAATTTGTTTTACAAATCCATAAAATTGGTTTTCAAACAATTTGCTCGTTATAAACTTTAAAAATAAAAATTTTCTGGCAACTCAGCGCTCTAGTGGTAACTTTTGGCTTCGATTTGATAAAAATTTTTATTTAAAAGTAATTTGTAAGCAAAAAACACAACCGACTTCAATGCTCGTTTAAAAATTTGGGAGTACTGTTAATTTCTTCATGATCCAATCGGAACTAGATCAAATTAGTATGGGGCCACCCTTGTGGTACCACCTTTCTGATAAAAAAAAAAACAATTATCGAAAACGGTTCGCGTGGCCTAAAGTTATGCGGTAACATAAAGAAAACATTAAAAAAAAACTTTCCTCCGTTTTTTGAAGTCAGTTAAATGATATTTCTCCAAATTTAAATTTCTTATAATAAATACCGATCTTAACAGCCTTCACTGGAATAATAAAAAATCGCTTGGATAGTTCTAGTAAGTATCCTCCACAAATACTGACTTCTTAAATTCCAACGATTTTCAAACGATAAATTCATGCTACCCCTTCAAAAGTTACTCATACGTACCGGCGCACCAAACACTACTTCACCACTCAGCCCCTTTTTACTACTACCCGCGTGACACTTATTGCGATCCAAAATATTGCTGCAGCTTAAAAGCGTTTGCACAAAGCAGCATATTTGACAACAACATAAACAACGAAAAACCAATCACTGGAAAAAGCAAATTTTTCTGGTTGAAAAAATTTAATTTCCAACGGCACTAAAAAAAAAAGTGAATCAAAAAGCACAGCGATGCTTTAAAACGTACAACAAATGCACCAATACGAAGGCAACAAGGGAAAGGGTATGCAAAATACTTAAGCGAATTTAGTCGAAAATTGCCCATTTTCGGGTCACTAAACTGCAATTTTCGCGCGCGCAATAGAACCGAAAGCGCACTCGCGCACACTTATACATATGTATGTATGTACGAGTGCATATGCAAACAAACATGTAAGTACGTAAAGTACTCGTCGTAGTATGTACATATGTATGTATGGCCTCTAGTCGCAACGCGCTTGAGCCGCGCTGCATTGTTGCGACACTATATTTGGCGGCGCTTTGGGATTCGCGCGCTTCGTTCAAGCATAAATTTGGCTTTGCAATTAGTGGCGAATTAAGTGCAAAGTGGCTTTGGCACTAAGCATGTATATGGCTTTCTCTTTGTATGTATATGCGTGTATGTTTGTGCTATGTATGTTGCTAGCGACTTAGTCACTATTAAATGGCTGCAAATGCAGCTTAAAGCGCTAAGCGCTTAGTGTCTCACACTTTTTTAAGTCTCACGCATGGTCCTGGATAAAAATTACTTAAACGAAAGTTTCGCTCAAAATAGAAGACGATTTATCCCTTTGACTGTGTGTCAAAACTATAAGCCGCAGAATTTTCCATTTTTGATTTCATCGCATTTATTTCGCCCACTTTTTATCATTTTATTTCGCTTGGTGCCTGCCTTTCGCTCTTTGATTTATATTCTTCGATTTTTTCTTCGATTTTTGTAGACTTTTTATTTGCAGCCATTTCATACCAAGTGCCACTTCTGCAAAACGCACTTACACGCTAGTCAGTACAAAAAAAAAAAAACAACCGCATACAATGCTGCGCGTTCTAATAGAAAATTGTCGCATGCAATGCATCATCAGCGATCGTAGTCAGCGATTCGAACTGAGGCGTAGTTATACAGTGGCACTTGCTTCAGCGCATTTTCACACAAAAAAATAAATTATTTTCAACATATTTTTTCTCTAAACGTTTTAAATGTTGCTGAAACTGCACACAAGCAGGCAAATATGTGAATATGTTTTTTTATAGCATGTGTGCATGTGAATTATGGTGGTCCAAAAAAAAGTTAAAAATGTTATGCTCTCACCTACCAGAACTTTTCTAAAAAAACATATTCGTATTTTTTTTTTGTTAACAAATTTTTACTTAGAACTGCCTCAAATCCCATGAAATTTCCCATGTATTTTATATGGGAAAAACTACTTTTTCTGAGAAATGGCAAAGAATTCTTGAAACCAATATTTGATCGGTCGCCAAGAAATAATAATATCCAATTGTTTATTTTACCATTTTTTAATACCAACAATTTTTAATGAGTTTTCCTTTTGCATTTTTTGGGAGCTTTTGGGGAACCTATAAAAACCGTTAGTATTAAAGTATACTATTTCTACGAAAAAGTGTTTCTTTCCCATATAAAGCTTGATAAATTTTATATGTATAGTTTTGTAGTTATATTTTTTTTAACAAAAAAATCGGATATTCTTTCTTCATTTAGAGAAATTCCAGGGGGTGAGAGCTTAGAATTTTAAACTTTTTTCACGCATGTGTTCACCTTAATGCACATAGTATGTGGTTGTTGTACTCGCTCAAGTTAAAGTAGTTCACTATGTTTGCACTGCCTCAACCGATTAGCTGTGGGTTTTTTCGCATACACAGCTTTGCCATCAACACTTTTTGCAATCGCGGTCTGGCAAGTTTGTAATGCGTGCAGAGCCAATGGCAATGGTTATGTGTGTATTAACTTAATTTTAAAGTACTTAGCTTTACTTTTCTGCATATTATCTGAACAATTTAATTTAAAATATGAGGTATTTAAAATTATTTCTATAAGTCCTGATTTAAATAAATATCGATTGTCATTCATATACTTATACACATCCACATCTATATGCATTCCATATCCATATTCATACCCATGTCTGTAAACATATATATCAGTATCCATATCCATATCCATATCTATATCTATGTGCATATACCCATTTTCATATCCATATCCATTTTCCTATCCATATCCCCATCAATATCCATATCCATATCCATAACCATATCCAAATCCATGACCTTCTTCCCGTCGATATCCATATCGATAAATTTACACATTTTTATCCATATCCATATTCCCATTTTAATATCCATACCAATATCCCTAACCAAAACTTACTTTTTCATACTTTAAAACCATTTGATTTGTAAATTCTAATATTGATCTCTTTTTCATTTCAGGTATGTTCAACGTCTGGATAATTCATGAATGGTTTCGTAATAAATTTTCACAGGTTTGTTTAAAATTTTACTATGCCAAAAATCTTAAGATAATAGCCAAATATCACAACCCTCCTCACACGTAGGCCAAGACTAGTGGTGGTGTGATTCCATATGGAATACTAATTCTTTCGCCACTTTTACAATTCCTTTTAATATCCAGGCGTCCAAGGACATATGAGCAAATCTCACAAGCTGCTAAATTTTTCGATAAAAATGTGTATTTGGTCCAAAACGGTGGCACACTTATCTTAGAAAGTGCATTATCTTCAGTTTTACATAAAGAACAAGATTCCTTCGCGTAATTGTATTTAAATGAAAACTTAAAAAAGATATACTAGAAAAAATCAAAATAAAAACTCATGTTTATATACTCGTAGTTGTGTATATAACGCATACACCCCGTAGCACCATACATTGTCAGCTTAAACGTGTACTCACATGCCTTAACTTAAAAGTCATATTATTTAAAAGTAATTAAATATTGGCGTGGAATATCTTGCTACATATAGTATTCTGCACGGAAATACTTATATAATAATTTCTTAATTTATGTAACACTTTCAAAATGAATTTCGAGTATGCCAATAAAAATTGTAAAATTCAAATTTTTGTTTCGCAATTTTTCGGTTCGTTTTGGCAAGAAAAAAATTTTCACCGTTTAATGGTGACATTTTTAAGCATCTTAAATTTTAATAATAAAAAAATTAAAATTTCAAAAATTATAAAATAGCTGCGACCCATTTTATGCATGCTGCCATTTTTTTTTTTTGAATTTAGTGGCACACTCTTGAAACTTTACAGATACGTTGTATTTTATGCCAACTTTCATTGCCGCTAATATGAACATTCTATTAGAAAACTTCCCACAGTTATTAAAAAAAGAACATCATTAGCTTATAATAGGACCACATATGCAAGGTATAGCCTTCGAAAATTTTACTGAAATCTATCCAGTAGTTTTTGAGTTAAGTCCAAACAACGAAAATGGCTATCATTTTATATATAAATATATCATTTTATGTATAAATATAGATATAAGTTTAAAGGATATATAGAAAAGGAATCTCTGTCACCCAAAAAAAATATATTTGGAAGTTGTTGATAAGATTTTCGTTTCTTCCCTTTTACTTAAACGATTTTGCTGGGGCCTTCTGACCTAAAATATAGTGCATATTTTACATAGAGCAAATAAAAATTTTAAATGAACTAATTATGCCTAATCTGGGAGCACTGCTATAATTTAAGCTTCTTTACTCAAATCGTTTTCAAATTCTCGTACGCAGTTAAGTATTGTGCTCCATGTAAGTATTTCGCTTGCTTCTGCTCCATTCAAAATACGCATGAGTACTTATGTACTTACCACTTTATACTTCTATTGACATCCTCTCCCTCTCTTACAAACTCACCACAGCAATTTCGAATTATTCCTCCCATAGCCGTTTGCATGTGGCGCCCATTTGCGTGGGCGTGCTCATTTGGCTGTGTAACAAAATTGCATTAAAGGACCTTCACCTTGTCGCACATAGCTTTTGTGGCTGCGTTTACTTTATACATATAAACTACTGCGTATAGAAAGAAGCACCTGCACAAAATTTTCTGCTTAATCGCCAAGTTTTTGGTTTTTTGTTTTGCGTTGGAATTTCTGCCTAACTATGTTGTAATCGCTGCAGGCAAACAAGAATCGACAAAAACGTTGTGTTAGCATATGGCACAAATATGCCAAGGTATTTAGTTGTGTGCCCCTGTAGGGAACGTTGCGCCCTTTTTACTTTGTTTAATAGAAAAAAACTTTTTACAAAAGCTGGTCAGACCAAAGAGAGACGGATGTTAAATGAGCGGGTTTTAGAGGGTGGTTTGTTGATAAACAAATAATCCCAACGGTATTACCCTTCTTTTGCCACCCAACCGACACAAGGGGCGTGGTTCGATTGACGTACTGAACTTTTTTTTTTGCTTTTGGTGCCAAGCCGTGGATATTTCCTAAAAAAGTTATATGACAGTTTACATCGTTATTATTGTCGGTCATGTTTCCAATTTCTATATTACTTCTATTGCATATAATTATCGATTTATTTCTACACACAGTTTATCGATTTTTGATTTTATTCGTATTATTGTTATCGATATCTCTTTTTGTATATTTATCGACATATTTTCTTTCAAATTATCGATATTTTAATCGATATGGTTATAACTAATTTATCGAAATCATTACAGATATATTTATCAATTTAAGGGACCGAAAGTAGCCATTGAGTTAACCATTAAATTAACCAAGACTTTTATATTTAGATGCCTGCTAAATCTATACTTTTGGTTTATATTTTTACGATAAAAAATAATCATTAAATATGGATTTTTATATTGTTAAATTTAATCGTTGATTTATGATTTTCAATTTTGTAATAAAAAATAATGATGTTTTTATTTTTTATTTTCTCGATAATATTTGAACGTTAAAATGGGGGCTCTAGTCAATAAAAAAACTGAAGCTGAAAATAACGGTGGTATGTAAAAATTAAAATAACGATTAAATTTGACCGCAAAAAAAGATCAAAATTTTAAGCTTATACTTGATAGAAGTAATAAAAATTTTAAAATAACGCTTAAGTGAAATTTATCGATTATACTTGATCGAAAAAATAAAAATCATAAAATATGTAAGGGTAAAATTTGATAGAAATAATAGAAATCCCATTTTAAAGGCCAAATTAGGATTTTTGTTACAAATGTAATATCCGTTGCGGTCCCTTATTAATGTTGTTTTCGATATATTTGCAGATATCGTCGATATATTTATCGACATAGCTGTATAATTTATCGATATCTGCTAATATCGCCTCATTTATCACTATATTTTTTCTATGCCATCACTGTCCTTATATACATATATTAACATATATCGATAACATTTGTTATCGTTTTCCTCATTTTTTCTTGTCCCATTCTTATATTCTGGTTTTATATTCTACTTGTTATTAATATTCGTTATGATTCAAATAAATATCTTTATGTGCATTCGTTCTCTTCCGTTTATTATTCTCCAAGTGTAAATTGTTTCCCACAGGGCTGCATCCACATAGCTACTATCATTTTATTTACACACTTGCGTGTGCCTGTGTCTATGCAACAGCTTGCTTGTGTGTGTGTGTGTGTGTGTTTCTAATCGCTCTTTCGCATTGTTGAGCGCTAACAGCTATACTAAGTACATATGTATGCAATATGTATTTACGTTTATATATGTAACTTGATGCAATAACGTTTATATTAGGTAGAACTACTCTATATTAGTTGTAGTACTTGCAACATGCTGCAAGTGTGCCATAGCTTAAAATGTTTGTGCATAGTTTCGCTTTTATTAGGTTAAGCGCGTCGATTTTTTTTCTTGTTTCTGCTCTTCTTTTGATTATAGTTATGTATGTATGTAAGTATGTAACTCTTTTTCGTTTAGATTATTTCCTCTGCTTCCAGCTGTGGTCCACTTCTGCTTGGCTGCCTCAACAAATGTTGCAGCGAAATTTTCGCTACATAATACCTACGTACATACATACCTACTTATGCGTGTTTGTTTGTTTGCATGCGCACTTAAAGAAGCTTACGTTAATGATACTTTGGCCAGCATTAGGCGGCTATTAGAAGAAGAAGATACATATTACTTATCAGAGAACAGCTTTGAGTATGATCGAGCCTTTTTGATCACACTCACTAAAAATCAAGCACAAGCGAACGCCACACTCGGCTACTATGTGTTCGATCGAGATGCATACCCGACAGCTGCTTTGGTTACGAACGAGTCTGTTCGATCACCCTCGCTATAAATTGAGCACAAGCGAACACCACACTCGGACACCCGCAGCTAACCCGAAAATTTGTGTAACAATGAAACGGACACCCGAACATTGCGATAAAATGCAGGACAACAAAGAAATTTACGCTGAAGGTAACTGGCGCCAATATGTTCCCACAAAGCATACGAAAATGTTGTTGCTTTGTGCTTGTGCATACGCAAAGAAAAAATTAGAAGCGAAGTAGACAAAAATGTTTTTGCATCTATTTCGTATAGTTTCGCGTGGAAAGCTGTGTGTGTATATATTAGAACACAGCCTAAAACTATGTAGGTACATAAGTACTTTTACAAAAAATAAATGTGCACCGAGTGTATAGGGCTTGGGCATTGCCGATCTACACACATTTATACCTAAATGGATGTAGGCGTCGTGATGCCGCATTTTGTATGAGCAAAAATATAAGAAATGGTTAAATGTACACTTAAACAAACTACCTAAAAATTCAACCTTCTCTTTACCCTCTACGCACAAAAACTAAGAACACCGCGATGAGAAGGCAACATTTTTTGTAGAAACAAAAACGTCATAAGCCAATCAAGAAAATTTTGTGCACACTCGGGTTGAAACTCGAACACCCGGGTATATTGAGCTGCAAAGCACCCGTACCCAATCAAGTATGTATGAAAAGCAATCGGGTGTTGTGGCCAACATGTTCGTCTTGAGCTCAGTCGATAACGAACAATACTTCTGCTCGTATACAGAGAACGATGCAAAACGGGTTTTGTTAGATGATCGAGTATACACGAAAACCATGCACCCGCTGCAGATGTCTGTTACTTATGTACATATTTGTATGTAAGTAAATATGTATGTATCTGTTTTTATGTCGACATCTGCGTTCGTATTTTTGCCGCTTGGCATCATTTTTTCATACTCGCTCCTGCGCCCGCTTTCGCAGTGACTTTTACTACATATTTTTGTTATAAGTATTTTCTACTTTGTCTACTTTGGTTGGCGTTGTAAGCTTATCCACTTAACCCTCTTAGCGCAAAGTGGGTTGCTGAGGCTTGCAAATGTGGTTGAAGCGTAAAAAAAAATATTCATATTTACACAAAGGAATGCCGTATTGAAGGCTTAGTTTGCTGGTTTTCAATGGAAAGCCACTTCCTTGCGTTGGCTGATGCGGAAAAATATTGAGAAAATTACTTCAAAACGTTGAATGT